TCTTATACACATCTTGACGTGTTTGGTTCGGTTGAATCATGGTAAAAAAAAATCAACAATTGTATTACATATTGTATTACATATTGTAATTGTATTACATAAGTGACGAAGGATAACGTTAAGTTTTACTGAGCCTCTAATCGCGTTGTGACCGTGTCAATACAGAGAGAGCTTCTTTAATTATGAAACCTGTTCATTTTATTTCATGATACACTGTCACTACAATGAAATTTAATGTGAACTTGAAAATTAACATAAAATTTGAATTCCTTCAGACTTTATCATGAAATACAACACATCTAACCTGTTAATACAGAATTGGTGTCAGTGGTTGAACTGTCGGGAGATGACGAGAGGTTTCCAACATCAGGTGTCGTACGTAACTGGCTGCTACTGGTCTCAAAAACCCCAGTTGTTTGGCCTACTGTGCGTGTTACAATGTCTGTTGTGGTTCCGTCAATTAAAGATTGGTAGCCTGTAGTCGTTTTGTCGGTGAATGTAACGTTAAGAATATCCATCGTTGAAGAAATTCCGACACTAGTATTAGGCACCTCGGTCGTCATCACTGTCGTTTGTTCAACTGGTCATTCAAAATAATAAGAATTAAAGGAGTGACTGGAAGTGTTTCTATCATTTTCGCTGTTAACTGAAGGGTAGACATTTTTTAAATAAACTAATTTCTATGTTCAAGTTGATAACTTTTATGTTACTTCAAAATAGGCAAGTTAATTTCAAAAAATATTTTTATGATTTTTTTTTTGGTATTTAGCATAGAACAATAGATCTTTAAGCGAATGATATGCCTAATCACATTAAGTGAAACTGACGTTAAAGTAAAGCAGTTTCTCCAGGGTGAAGTTTGGATTTGGATTAATGTTATACATTTATTTCAATACTAATAATAATAGATTTATATAGTGCAAATAAACGAGGTCTCTATGCGCCCGGGACTAGCACTTTTCAATAACTTTCTCCTCCCCTGAGGGTCACTTCATGTCCTCTGCAGCCAGTAAACCGGCGTACTTTCATCTGTCCACGACAAGGGCCGAGTGAACCAGTACACCGGGGTAGCCCTACTCATCTCGAAAGATGTACTGGGTTCTTTAAAGTGCACATGAGCATTTGTGTACACTGGGTCTACGGTTTATAGTCTTTATCCGAGAAGACTTGTTCCACCACCAGAACTATAGGAGCGAGCCGGTCGCCAACAAAGTAAAATTTTGGAGGGGAAATATGCTGGGGTGGCCCGAAGTGGGCGTGGTCGGGCGTCACTCAAAATGTCTTGAAAGTGGTCCAGGGGAAGAAGCCCCCCCCCGCCCCAAATAAATAGGCCTATGACAATTTAGGGGCTTCAGAAGCTTATTTAATCGACTTTATAAATCTTGGTGTTACTATGGATGCTAATATATTTTAACATATTTCAAATATCACTTCAACATCTTCATTTTGTTTACGTAACATTAGAAGCATTAGGAAATACATTGACAATGCAGCTGCTGAACAACTTGTTCACTCATTTGTTACCTCACGCCTATGGGTATCTCGCTCTTGTATGGACTTCCACATAAACAAATCCAACGGCTTTAACTTATTCAAAATGCTGCTGCACGTGTAGTTACCAAGTCATCCAAGTACTCACATATTATAACAAATACTCTGAAATCATTACATTGGCTTCCGGTACAACACCGCACTGTTTTTCAAAAAATATTATTAGGCCTAATTGTTTTTAAATGTATGCATGGTTTGGCTCTCGACTATGTAGCTGACGTGATTCGGCCTTATATTACTGGGCATAACTTGCCCTCTTGTGACAAACTATATTACTACATCAACCAAAGTCATATCGCTCTTACGGGGATAGAGCTTTTAGTATTGCTGCTCCACGTCTTTGGAACGCCTTGCCTTGCTCCGTCAAACATATTAGATCTATAAATGTGTTTAAAAAAACATTAAAATTGCGTCTCTTCACCGAGGCGTATAGAGAACCTTGATGTTCCTCTGTTGAATTTATGTTATTTAAATGAAGAAGAAAAAAACCAAAACAAAACACAAAAAAACAAAAAACAAAAAAAAAAAAAAAAAAAAAAAAAAAAAAAAAAACAACAACAAACATGATACCACTTTTCTCTGTCGACGCAATGCTGCTCCTTTTGCAGTGCATGGTAGTGGAGCCCTGGGCTTATCCTGGGGTGGAAGGTGCTGATGCTCAACATACTGCCTTTGAGTATCTGCGCGTACTTATATGGGGAGCAGCACTGCCTCGATGGGATAATTGGTATACGGATTCTGCTGGAAATTCACCTGGGAATTAATATGAATTTTGTTTATTCTGTGGTGTAACTGACACTGCGCCTTGAGCACCATTGGTGGAGATGTGCGCTTTATAAATCTTTATTATAAATATTATTATTTATTAAAAATGCAGGCTCACAGTAGATTCAAAGTAAACACAGAATTGTCGAAAACACAAGAAAGCAGACGGATACTTCAACCGATCCACTGTTGCCTCCAGTCGTGCGCCATCACACCTTCTACCCCGCTGGACAGCTGCATAACCCCCTTCCACCCCTGTCTGTCTGTGAAATGTGAGTGTTGTAATACCATAATATCTCCGACAAGTCTCCGATCCTCGTAGGATATCTGACGCAGCTTTACTATTGTAGACCTGACACAGCATTACTACTGTAGATCAACACATGACAGACCCGTATACAGACTGCCCATATATTCAGGACAATGAAACTATCCTTACCTTCATAAAAATTCGTATTTCAAAAAAGAGATTTTAACGTAAATAGGCCTATTCGAGAATTTAAAACAACGTGCAAATGGGCAGTGTGCTTTAACGTAAGTATCCCACAATCCAAATGCAAGGTTTCAACAACAATTTGAGAGCACGTATGCAGGGGCGTAGGGTGGTTTCCAACTGGGGGGGAGCTGCGAAAATTGTAAATGCGGAGCTACAAAGGGTCAGTCAGCATTCTGCGTTAAAGAACGCAGTACACTCTGTGGCCCAGCCGCTCCGGGTGTTTGTAGCGTTTTGTTTTGTATATTAATGTTTTTTTGGCACAATTGAGTTCTTAATTTTGTATCATGACTTGACAAAATAAGCGTAATATATTGTAATTAAGATAATACTTCGTTCGTCTGTAACTGAATTTCTAGTTAACGTAAAGTTAAGTGATGATATTTGTTAATTAGTGAGGTACCGGTAATTATCACACAAAAAATACTATAAATTATATTTTAATAATAGGAGCGTGATACGGTAACATTTCTAGTGTTTATTGCACATTTTTATTATTATTGAAACAATTGAAATTGGCATGCCTATTTTATTTTTGTTTTGTTGCATTTGCTAGTTCACGTAAGCTTGAGGCAAATGCCTCGTTGTATACATACATTTTTTTTCTATTTCCATCTCATTTGCTTTGTATTTGTTTTGATATGGACATTATCTGAAATAAAGAGAAATTGAAATTTAAAGCAAACCTTACACGACATCTCGCAGATGTATCCCCGAATATTACCAAGAAAGGTATCATCCTGACGGAGTTCCGTCATCATCAGTGTGTTGCCAGAGTTAAATGATAGGTAAACACCTGCTGCTTCGCTGTCGGCTCCATTTGGTTCATTATTGTCCCATATAAGCCAGCTGGTGTCACTGGGATTTCTTTCCTCACCCGATATCCATTTCCAATTACCCGCTACATCCCTTGCTTCCCCCGCGTCGCGGTTTAACCCGATGAAGTAGAAATTACAGTTACTTTCTTGGTTTAAAGCAAACTCTTTTACACTATCGAACTCTTCTTGAGATGTAAAACTAGCAAGGTGACCTCCAGTAACAACACATTTATTGTTCACAATTGTCCACGTTAAAAAGTCAGTTTGTGAATTAATTACGACACAATGGAGTAAGTAACAGGAATGTCCATATGTCACATCACATTCCGAATCGCCTGTAAGACAAAAGTTTTATTTTTGTCAATGTTTGTAAAAAAAAAAAAGAAGACACAAAAGAATCGTGGTGATTCGGTTGGAAAAAGTGATCTGAATTTAAAGATTTTGTACAAAATATGTAGTGTATTTATCATTGGCATATGGTCTGTTTGACTGATGGAATTGCTTCTCAATATTATTAAGGTCAATATGATGTTACTTATTATCTATATAAAGATGCCTAATTGGGTAATATATCGGAGAGAAGACCTAGACGGAGACGCTGATACCAAGGTTATTACAAAACAATGCGAAATACAATACTAATAATACTAATAATAATACT